AAATAAATTTTGATGAAACATATATAAAATCTTTAAAATTGTTTATGAATACAATATATTATGTATATATAATAATAAAATTTATGTATATAACTTGTTGGTTCGGTTCGGTTATTTCTTCAATTTTTTTCGAACAAAACCATAACCAAACCAAATACTATCGGTTCTTAACAATCTAAAACCAAACCAAACCAAAATCCAAATTAAATCGGTTCATTTAATTGGTTTGGTTTGATTTTTCGATTTGGATCGGTTTTTATCCAATCCATGAACACCCCTAGTCTCACTACATAATTTTGACTATTTACCCATTGAGGATAAAAACAAATCTTAATGACACCTCTTCCTCAAAATATCGGTTTCAAATTAAGGGTACTTTTGGTATTTCAAATCTTTTCATTGATGTACTTGTTTTATATCAAGAATATTTTGAATTTTAATGTCTATATTTTGAAGGTGAATTCCATATGACTTTCCACATATAATTTAGTTCCACGTGAATTAAAAAAAAAGGGGGGAAATCATCATAGATTTGAACATTTATCAAATGGAAATGTGCCTTTTTTGGATGACAAAAAAATGTGTTAAATAAATTGGGACATAAAAAAATAAATAAGGCCTTTTTTAGCATAAAAATATATATAGAGAAAAAAAAATAGGGAGAATAAATTAATTAGTCATTTTTAGACCACTTTATCATTGTTGGTTAGTTATTGGGAAAAATGTCTGAAATATATTCGAACTTTAATCGAAATTGTTGTAACGATATCAAACTTTGGAAAGGATCTTTTACCCCTCTGCACTATTTAACAGTGTATTTTAAAGGTATATATGTGTACACGTGGACACATATACTACGATACCAAACTTTATGCAGGACCTTTTACCCCCTTCACTATTTAATAGTGTATTTTAAAGGTATATATGTGTCCACGTGGACATCATAAATATTGCATAATTATAAATAGTAACGTGTCCACGTGGACACATATATACCTTTAAAATACACTATTAAATAGTGAAGGGGGTAAAAGGTCCTGCATAAAGTTTGGTATCGTAACAACAATTATACTTATGTAGCGCGTTTAATTTCCAAAAAAGAGTAAATTTTGTCGACTTCACCCTTATAAGTACGTCATTAATGTGCGTTTATTCGTTTAGTTAGAAAAGAAGTTTTCTTTGATAACGTGTTTAATTCCCCAAAAAGTAAAATTTGTCGTTTTCACCATTATAAATCAACGTCAAATTTGGAGTCGAGCCTTTTCAGCAATGAGGCCTAGCGACAAATATGATGATTGATTTATGTAGCGCGTTTAATTTTCAAAAAAGAGTAAATTTTGTCGACTTCTCCCTTATAAGTACATCATTAATGTGTGTTTATTCATTTAGTTAGAGTAGAATTTTAGAATGTTTGTTCTTTAATAGAGTGTTTAATTTCCCAAAAAGTAAAAATTATCGTTTTTCACCATTATAAGTCAACGTCAAATTTGGAGTCGGGCCTTTTCAGCAATGAGGTCTAGCGACTAATATGATGATTGATTTGTGCAGCGTGTTTAATTTCCAAAAAAAGGAGAAAAATTTGTCGTCTTCTCCCTTATAAGTACTCCATTAATGTGCATTTATTCGTTTAGTTAGAGTAGAATTTTAGAATGTTTGTTCTTTGATAACGTGTTTAATTTCCCAAAAAGTAAAATTTGTCGTTTTTCATCATTATAAGTCAACTCCAAATTTGGGGTCAACCTTTTCAGCAATGAGGCCTAGCGACAAATATGATGATTGATATATGTAGCACGTTTAATTTCCAAAAAAAGTAATTTTTGTCGACTTCTCCCTTATAAGTACGTCATTAATGTGCGTTTATTCGTTTAGTTAAAGCAAATTTTTAGAATGTTTGTTCTTTGATAACATGTTTAATTCCCCAAAAAGTGAAATTTGTCATTTTTTTACCATTATAAGTCAACGCCAAATTTGGAGTCGGGCCTTTTCAGCAATGAGACCTAGCGACCAATATGATCATTGGCTTAGGTAAGATGGTAGGCTGGCTATGAGCACTTGTAGGGATTAGTGTTTTAGATCACAATACACTAATATAACTGACGTATGAGACTTATCCTTTACTTGAAAATATATTGAGAAAAAACATAGCATGTCACAAAAATGTCGGCAGATCAAAAACCCTACTATGAGAGGGACACTTCATGTAGTGAAATTTTAGAATTGAGCCTTTTAACAAAGTCAAGTCAATTTCAGATCACCAAACCATGTTACTAATGAGAAGCTAGGTCTTATGGAGTATACACAAACATGTACGTTGCCACACTAAGATTAAGTAGTAGGTCATTGATGTGCGTTTATACATTTAATCAAGATAAAAATCAAAATATTTGTATATAACGTTTTTTATTCCTACAAAAAAATATATATTTATTTTTCACCAGTTATAAATTTCAATTTAGGATTCAAAGAGTAACTGTTCTATAAACATCCTCTTACTTAACAAATATACTAATGCATATAAGGTAATTGACAATATATCACATGTAACAGTAGTCTGGATTTTTATTTTTATTTTTGGATTTCATCCGATGTCTGATACTTATATTGTAGCCCGATTAAATTCAGATTTGCGTTGGCCGAGAAGTTCCACATTGAGGTAAAGCGCTTCCTATATAACAAAGGCGATTTCATATTCAGGGTTACTCGAACCTAACAAAGGTGACTCCGTACTCAAGGTTACTCAAACCCGAAACTTCTGATTAAGAATAAAAGACTACTTACCACTCCACCGTAATCCTTATGTAATAACATTAGGGTGATGTATCATAACTGTAACCATTAAACTTTTATGTTCAGTCAAACCGGATTCATAAAAATAAATAAATCCATTATAAATCAACACTTCACAAACAAAAATCAAGTAAAGAGAAAAAGTTAAACAACTCTGGTTCACTTTGATTTTTACTGAATTAGGAGCTAATCCTACAATTTTTTGTTGAAAATGTAGCAAGAGGACAATTTGTGCTTACTCCCGAGGAATAAGTTGGTGAAATTAATAGTACTCTTTTACTTGTTTTATTATAGCCACGAGCCACCCACACTTCGTAACAAGTGGAAATTAACGATAAAACTCTTAACACACAAAAATTATTTATTTCGTGAGTACTTCTTATTTATTTTGCAATCTATTTATTTTTCATTTCGTGATTTATTAATACAATCTGATAAAATATTTTCTATTGAAAATAGCTTTTTATCTTCATAAAATAAGACTTTGCGTTCACATTATCCTTTTAGACTTTACTTATAAAATTATTATGAAAGTAAGAGTAAGATTTTCATTCATGTCGGCTTCTAGGACTCACTTATCATAAATGTTATACAATTATAATGGAAAATACAAATAATAGCCTTTTTGACCAAAATTTTAAAATTTTTTTTTTAAATGCATTTAAAAATTTAATTTTGATAAAGATTTTGCTTGTATTTGGTCAATATGTCTTAAAAACACTTTTATGTAGTAACTAGTGTTTGATCAAGCTATTTTTCTCTAGCTTCTGAAAAAAAGCTTTTAGTACTACCAATAATCACTTATTTTCTTGGAAAAGCTTGACCAATCACCTTATCAATTTTTAAATAAGAAAATACTTTTTTTAAAAATAAGCACTTTTTGCCTCGAAAAACTTGATTGCTCTAAAATAAAAAAATAAAAAATAAAAAACTAAATTGGAAGAGAGTGGTAAAACAGCAGATTTACCACGGTTTTACAACAAAATGAAAATTTGACTATTTTATATTACCGCCAATAGAAAAAAAAATCACTTATTAGTGAGACAAGAGTCCTTTATATCCACAATCCCTATATAATAGTCTTCTTCTCTATACACAACTCATCCTTTTTCACTCTCCTCTGCTATTTATTTCTCCCCTTTCAACTAAATTTTCTCTCTTCAACAAATCTCACAAGTATAAGTTTTTTTTTCTTTTTTCTTCTTCTTTTGGGTAACTGGTCTCGACATCATGGTTATAGGAGATGATCATGAAGGCCTATATGATCTTGATCATCAACGCTTATATGGTGTTGATCATCAAAGCTCTGAATCTCATCAAAGCTCTGAATCTCATCAAAGCTCTGAATCTCATCAAAGCTCTGAATCTATGAACACAGAAAGCGATGATGTGAACGCCCAGCTAAAAAGCCGGAGAATGAGTTCAGAATCTGAAGAAGATGGTCTGTCAAAAAAGTTCCGAACATTCCCAGAATTCAACTCTAACCCAGAGGTTCAGGTTTGTTGTTAGCCATTTTCCATGGTTTGCTTAGGTGTAAAGCTTTTAAATTAAGTAGCCATAGCCAATATGCATGGTTGCTTTTTCTTCTTCTTTTTGGGAACTGGTCTCGACATCATGGTTATAGGAGATGATCATGAAGGCCTATATGATCTTGATCATCAACGCTTATATGGTGTTGATCATCAAAGCTCTGAATCTCATCAAAGCTCTGAATCTATGAACACAGAAAGCGATGATGTGAACGCCCAGCTAAAAAGCCGGAGAATGAGTTCAGAATCTGAAGAAGATGGTCTGTCAAAAAAGTTCCGAACATTCCCAGAATTCAACTCTAACCCAGAGGTTCAGGTTTGTTGTTAGCCATTTTCCATGGTTTGCTTAGGTGTAAAGCTTTTAAATTTAAGTAGCCATAGCCAATATGCATGGTTGCTTTTTCTTCTTCTTTTTTCTGCATGTGTTTTTTAAAAATATTTTTATAATCTTCTTTCCGCACATTTCTTTTAGTTCTTTTTAAAGTCGGCACATCATGGCCCCTCCATAACACTCATCTATATAAAAAAAACAACCTCCACTTAATCTTCAAATCTTCAAGAATATTTTTAATTTTTTTTTTTTTTATGGTTTTGGAAGAGATCTTGAAATCATTTTGTAAATTGATCGAGTATAATTCATTTTCATAAAATAATCTCATACATACATTTTTTGTTTATACTAAAAATCAAAATTATTGAACTAACAAACAAGTTTGATAGACGGTTTTGATAAAATTTATATCATTTGTCCGTTTTCATAAAATGTATTAATTTTTTCATTTTTTAACCTATTCATTTTATTCATAAAATAAGTAAATATTTTATTATTTTATTTATTACTAAACACATTAATTAACAAACTTTTTTCAGGATACAGAACTTATTGGTCTAACACTAAGCAAGACACCATCTTTCGTGAACTTATTAGAATCAAAACTTTCACAGGTGAAAATGAAGAACAACGGCTCTACACGCCGGGTAGGAAGGCCATCAAAGTCTTCCCGCAACATGGAAGATTTTGCTATTGTTTCAGAAAGATTGAAGGCTGCCAACTTTCCTGCTATAAAACTCAGTATTGGTGTTTGGGAGGTAAATAATCTTTTCATTAAAATAATAATAATTATTTTTTTATATTTGCAAAACAATGATTGTTACTTTTCTACGCAAAAAACAAAAAAATTAAAACTTTATAATTAAATATGTTTTTATAATGCTTTTTCTGCACATTTTTTTTAGTTCTTATGTGATATTTTCATTTATAATTCTTTTTTGTAGTTCTGTTATAATTTTTTTTTAATTTTTTTTTTTTTTTATATTCATAGTAACGTATATGAAAAACCATTTTCCATCTATCTTTTCTTTTTAATAAGCTACTTTTTATAAAATAATAATAATAAAAAATTGATATTAGATAAATGAAATAATAATTGTGTTTTTTAGAATTATATTTGTTGATAATTCTAGTAAAATTAATTTGAGAATTAGAAATGTTTTTTTTTAAAAATCATTCAAATCCGTAAATATAACAAATATTTATGATTTATATAAATCGATTCATAACTAGCCACTTCTTCTTACAGTGGCCTAAATTCACTATTAGTCATTTTAAAAAGTATAAAATTAATAAGTTATTAGTTATGTGTTTATAATACATTCCTTGGATATAGTTATAAAAAAGATTGACTACTAATTTAAATACTTAAATAATTTAATACAAAAATACAAAATATATCTTATGTTAAAAATATTTTAATAAAAAAATTAAGACATAACTTACTGTAACATTTGGCAGAGAGTTTCGAAGCATGAAGGTGATCTGATAGCGAAATGCTATTATGCAAAGCGAAAATTAGTTTGGGAACTTCTTGATGGGCCTCTTAAGAGCAAAATTGAAATTCAATGGTCAGATATCATTGCTATTAGAGCCATCATGCCACCAGGTGAACAACCAGGAGTTCTTGAGCTTGAGGTACTATTTCTTATTTATTTATTTTGCTTATATACATAATTTTAGATTTAATAATCAATTTTACGATATATATAAAATCATCATTGATACAGTTGAAAGAACCACCTACGTTTCATCGTGAAACAAATCCTCAACCTCGAAAGCACACATTGTGGCAGCAGACATCTGATTTTACTGGAGGTCAAGCTCCTATTCACAGGTGAAAACTAAATAAGTTAATTACGATTCTCTATTATACAAATTCAAAACTTTTTTTGGTAACTTGTACCTATGTCTTTTTTAGGAGGCATTATGTTAGATTTGCTCCAGGAGTACTTGACAGGCACTATGAGAAGTTGCTACGTTGTGATGCAAGGCTGAATGAACTAAGCAAAAAACCTTTCCCTAGCCAAATATGTCCTTTTTTTGAACAACCAGATTATAATAATGATCAGGTTTCAGATTTCTCAATTGGCAATGACTATGGATCACAACTTCTTCTCAATTATCCTTTTCATCACTTGCCTTCTTCTTCGTCTACTGCATTACTCCCTAATGTTCGTGAACCTCTTCGACAATTCAGTTCAAGTTATCCGGTAGCAGGTATGAATCATATATACATGCGGTTATAGTGTCATAACCCGAAACTAATGCTTATTAAAAATTTGGGCTTGTTTATGTTGTATATTTAGCCCAAATTCGAGAAGAACCTTTTCATTTTGATTTGACTAATGTTATGTGACTCACCTTTTATGCAGGTGAGAGTATAAGTGGGATTTGGGGTGGCCAAGGATCAAACAACTTGGTGAATGTTGCTATGGGAAATCAAGCTATTGGAATGTTGCCCGGGGGTTCAACACCAGATCAACAAGCTGATTGGATTACTACAACCCAGGATCATCAAGCAATGTATCAGCAAAATGACTCGATAGGAAATGGTCAAGTGGATCACACAATGCTAAACAATTTAAAGAACTATTTGCTGGAGGAAAATCAAGTTACATCCTACAACGAACCAGCATTTCCCTACTCATTGCCCGAGCACCATGAAAATAGAAGCCTTGTTGCTGCTACAGGTGATGTACATGGCCTAGACTCCAGTTATCAGATGGTGAACAACAATTATGCAGAGAATGTTGTACCAAACTATGAAATGGCGTATATGCAGCCAAATGCCAACTGGATGTTTCCTCAACAAGCAAATGATCAATTTTCTACCAATTATGCTACAGTTAGCGGAGGATATCCAACTCAAGATGTGAACCAAGAAGCACAGTCCGTATGGAAAACAACAAACTAATAGGGGTTCAATTAGCTAGTAATGACATAAGATCTTGTTTAATGTTATTTCTTGTTGCAAGTACTTTTTTATTACCCTGCCAGTAAGTAGAGAACTTTCTACCTTTATCTTTCTTTTAGCCTATGTATGTTTTAATCGATGCAAATTAGCCTATGTATGTTTTAATCGATGCAAATGAACATTTTATATAACTTCAAGATAGAGAGAGATGTTTGACCTATACATAACTATTCGCTCAACTAGTAAATAAACTGACCTCTCATTTTACATAATGGTATCTAATGATCATTCAAACATAAGATAATACAAAAGGTTGATTGATTGTAATCCCTAGTCTTATTTCAAAATAATCTGCGTATTATTTTCTTTCATAATATTTCAATAGAACTAAATAAGCTTTAAGAAGAAAAAAAAGAGTATAAACAACAAGTTTGCAAATCATTGAGATTTCAGAGGGAAAATACAAAAAAAAATGATAATAAAATACATGTTAATGCATCTGCTTAATTGCATTCGTGTAGTATTCTGAGTCTTGTCCATCAATTAATCATAGAGTTCTTTTGCTTATTTGCACCTTTACGTGCCGTCTTTTAAGTAATGAATATGGCTTGATTGTAAGGTAAGTTGCACGATTTCAGGCTGCAATTAAATTTGAGTTAAAAAGATGGAAAAAAACGAAGAAAAGGGTTTATAAGAGGGACAAATATGGTAAAGTTTTGGCTTAAGAAGTAAAAACTAAGGAGCAATTCTAATGGTGCTTTGATGAACAGCGAAACTAGAGCCAAGTTTCAACTTTCTGAATTTCAGAATCAAGCCGTATTAATTCAACTATGTTGTTTGATTGAAGGCATGACCTGTTTAATCTTGGAAATTAGAGATTATAGGATTAGGTAGATGTTGGACAACAAATAGTTTGTTAAGATTTATAAGTAGGAAAAACATTATGGAGAACTCACAAGCAAGAAGATTAGGGGAACAAATCTTCAATCCAATAATTTGAGAAATCATAGCTCTAAGACTTCTTTGGCAACTTTTTGCCTCACTTATTTACTACCTAATTAGTTACTCTTTACAAATAGAAAAATCAATCATGACGATACTTATCTCTTACCCGATGAGTTTCGAACGTGATCAGTTGTTAAAATTAATTAAACCTTCTAAGATAAAGCAGAAGCATATATAGCGATAGTAGTAATAACTAAGGGTGTGTTTGGTACGAAGGAAAATGTTTTCTTGGAAACCAAGTTGATTTTTGACTTATTTTCTCATGTTTGGTTGGTGAGTAGAAAATATTTTCCGGAAAAGATTTTTAGTGTTTGACTTATGAATGAAAAATATTTTTGAGAAATTTCTTTTATTTTAACTAGAGTAGAAAATAATTTTTGAAATTGAAAATATTTTTTAAAAATAAACTTAAATTTTTTTGGGGGGTGGGGTGG